CCTCCATCCATCCATCATCCGTCCTTCCATCCATCCATCACCCATCCCTCCATCCATTCATCATCCATCCATCATCCATTCATCCAACCATCCATCTATCCTTCCATCCATCCATCCATCCATCCCTCCATCCATCCAGCCATCATCCCTCCATCCATCCAGCCAGCCATCCTCCATCCATCCATTCATCCTTCATCCATCCATCCCTCCATCCAACCTCCATCCATTCATCTTTCATCCATCCATCTTCCATCCATCCATCCATCCATCCATCCATCCATCCATCCATCCAGTCTCTTTTCTGTTAATAAACTGTTTCTATTCCAGAAACTCATTTGAAATCTAAAACATAAACTCTGTTTCTCCAGAAACAATTTTGGCTGTTTTTGACAGATGATTTGAACTAAATGCAAATAAACTTATTGGGATTATCTTTGTTGAAGAGGCAACATTTAACTGCTACTTAGACAACATTCTCAAAGTTGAAGGTTCAAGGTTCTTTATTGTCCTTCGCATCACATGTGGTACATGAGGTGGAACGAAATTGTGCACACAAGGTCCCAGTTACACCCAAAAATATAAAGTATAAAAGAAGAAACAGTATTTAAGGATCTAAGATATACACTAAGATATACACTAAACACTAATAATGTAAAATAATATGGTATATTAACAAATATTTGAAATTATTCAACTCCTTTGCAGGAAAACAAATAAAATAAATAATGTAAATAATCATAACTCTTTACCTCAGCTGAGGTCAGAACGAGCTGAAACTTCTGGGAGGAGATGTGGTTGAATTTTCAGGTTTTGACATATTTTCTTTAAAACTAACCACCATCAGTGTGACGGCGTCTGTTCATTCATTCAATTCATTCAACCTTTATTTACACAGGTAAAACCCATTGAGCCTCGAGGACCTCAGAACAAGAACCAACCACAGAGTTGATAAGTTAATAAGACCACTAGAGGTCCACTGTCCACAGTTTGAGACATCGTGGACGAGCAAAGAGGGCAATAGCTCTGTCATAATTTATTTGTAATATTTTTACAATAAATAAACAGAATTCTTAATTCATGTTAATTTCATTCAGCAGTCAAGTAAAACAGCTAGACGATATATCGTTGATAAGTTTAATGTCAAATTTTGTCACTGGGTTGTAATATATATATATATATATATATATATATATATATATATATATATACATATACACACATACTGTACATACATACATATCTATGTATATATGTTTGTTTGTATGTATGTGTATGTATATAAATATATATATATATATATATATATATATATATATTACAACCCAGTGACAAAATTTGACATTAAACATAATCCAAGCATCGTTTTCAACCCCCTTTTTGGCATCTGCATTTGGTAGCAGGCCAGATTAACAAAGACCATGAAGAATAATGTAGTATTTTAATTCCACAGCAGAGAAAGCTATGTAGTCGCTGTAAGTCTACTGGGGAAAAATATCGGTATTGGTATCGGTTATTGTCCAAATAAGTTTTAACATATCGGCGTGTCGGATATCGGCCAAAAATCCAATAATGTGCATCCCTAATATTTATACAATATATGAATTTCTGTCCCCCTCACATTTAAAACATATTTGTTTGGACTACACCACATTTACCATGAAATATTAGTTCACCAAGCGCTGTTTCCATTTCTTCATAAACTAATCCATTCCACTTGATCAATAGGAGAAAACTAAAACCACTAAAGGTCCACTCCGGGTTTTTCTGGTTACCTACAACAACAGCACCACACAGCGTGCAACGTTCCTCCGGGGGTAATTGACGGGGTGGGGGGAGGAGGAGGAGACACCTTTGTGTTGCACGCTAGCTTAGCGCCACCTTAGTGCGGGAAGTTGTAGAACGGGGATGGGGGGGTTAGGATGCATGAGAGAAGCAGAGCGCTGCATCTGTAGCATCTTAGCTAGTGCGTCTGTATTGCACGTCGCTAGCTTAGCGCTACTTTTGTCGACTGGGGGGGGGGCAGCATTGTGCCATGCTCTCATAGTTGTTGAATCAAGTGTTTATTGATGTAGGTAAACATAGATGTTTAACAACCCGTTAAAATACAACAGAATGCAGGAAATGGCATCTACTTCTTTATTCAAAATTTTATGGGGGAGGACCCCCAGACCCCCCACTGATGTGTCCTCCCCAAATTACAAAATGTGTCTGACATCACGTAACCACTGTTCCCGCTCATTTTTTATTTATGGATGCGACTCATTTATACAGAGAGACTAAACTAAACCCTAATCATGGACTAAAGTTGCCGAATTCATGGAATTTTCACAGTTGAACACTTGCATACGTAAATGTGTTGGAATAAATGGAGATGAGTCTGAAATTTCAAAATATCGAAGGCCGTGCATCAACAGGGATTTGAAATATATTTTGGGGGAATAGTCAATTTTAGGACAAACTCCACAAGAAGAGATTTTGTTGCTGGAACATGACATGAGAAGTACGACAGGAAACTGTCAGCTGGACATGTAGGGGCAGATCACATGATCAGCGTTAGACCCGCCCACTGAGTTTGATGAGCGAGGGTGACAGTTAATATCATTTCATGATGACACTGGAGGGTGGACTGTGACAAAACGAACTAACTAAATAAATCATTAACATTAGGGACAAGATTAAATAAATAAATACGTAATTAAATGTATCATTTAAGTATTCAATAAATCATTAAATACACAATTAATTAAATGTCCCATGAAATAAATAAATGTACTTTTTAAATTATTTATTTCATGATTTATTTACTTAATTTAGTCACATTTCTCCCTCCAGTGACTTGAAATTATGTTAACTGTCAGTCTCACTCGTCAAGCTCAGTGGGCGGGACTAGGATGGCTCGTGAACAGACCCTGACGCCTGATTGGCTGCTCCTCACAGCAAACGAAGACTAATCTAAGGATTGAGCCACAGGCCAGAAAATATACTCCTGTTCCATTTGCCACAAACTCTGGGGAAGAAGCTCCAGCTGCTATATCCCTAGCTTGGTTTGAAATATCTCTAACCAGTTCACGAGAGGAAGCGGCCATGTTTAAACGGACTTCAGACCAAAGCAATGGATTTCACATGATCAGCGTTAGTCCCGCCCACTGAGTTTGATGAGTGACACAGACGGCATCATTTCATGATGACACTGGACTGAAGGGTGGACAAAATTAAACAAATAAATAAATCATAAAATAAAGAATTTAAAATGTATATTTATTTATTTCATGGGACATTTAATTAATTGTATAATAGTTTAATTGTACATTTACTTACGTATTTAAAAATTAAATGATACATTTAATTATTATGCATTTATTTATTTAATTTTATCACCTTCCACCCTCCATAAGATAAAGGTTCTGCTGTTTACAGAACCCATTTAAATCAGTGGAACCATACAGAACTTGAATCTTCTAATAAATAAAAAGCGCATAAATATTTCATGGGAGCAGTTTCAGCAGACGAGCAGTAGATGGAGTCACGATGTGTCCAACCAGACTAATGAAAGTAGCTCCAAGCCTTTCTTTAAATCATCAAAGTGTTGTAGAATCTGAGAAAAATCAACCTGTCGGCATCACGTTAGGAACATTTGACTGTTTGCATCAAGTTTTGTTTCATAAAATATAGAAGCTGACATTGAAATAATCAAAACTATTGTTAAAGGGTATCGTGATGCATGCTCATAATCCAGGTCGACAAATCCAACAACGTTAATCCATGTTCTCTGGACAGATTTAAAAATAAATAAATAAATTATTTAATTAATTTAAAAAATAATAATAATAATAACAAATAAATAGAATAAAAATAATACAATTTTGATATATATATATATATATTTTTTAATTAATTTTAATTAATTAATTTTATTTTATTTATTTATTTATTTATTTATTGAATCCGTCCAGAGAGCGTGACTTACCTTTGTTAGACTGTTAAAGTGACATCATTATAAAACTTGTCTCTGTCCCGTCCTCAGATCACTCGGTGGCGGCAAAGTCTGGAGGCTGTTTCCATGGCAACGCCTCGGTGACGTTGGAGGGCGGCGCTCAGAAGCCCATGGGCGACCTGCGGCCTGGCGAGCGGGTCCTGGCCTCGTCCGACGGGGACATGGTGTTCAGCGAAGTCCTGACCTTCCTGGATCGAGACCCGACCGCCCGCGGACTCTTCTTCACCCTGCGGACCCGAGCCGGGCCTCGGATCTCGCTCACCGCCGCCCACCTCGTCTTTGTGTCGGAGGGGAACTGCTCGGAGGGGGCGGAGCCAGCCCGCGGTACCCTCAGGACGGTGTACGCCGGCGACGCCCGGCCAGGTCAGTGCCTGCTGGTGTCGGGCGGCAAGACCGGGGGCCTGTCTCGCATCAGCCGGGTCAGCGTGACGACGAGGGCGGGGCTGTTCGCCCCCCTCACCCAACAGGGAACCATCGTGGTCAACGGGGTGGCAGCGTCCTGTTACGCCGCGGTGGACCAGCATCAACTGGCTCACTGGGCCTTTGCCCCCCTCCGACTTATGTACAGCTGGACCGGGAGCGCCGGGGGCCACGGGGACGGGGTCCACTGGTACCCCCGGGTTCTACACTGGCTGGGCAGGAAGCTGCTGGACTCCGGACGTCTCCACCCACTGGGCGTTGCTTAAGGCGACGCGACAGGAGAGGGTCCAAACAAACCCGAACCCTTAAATCCAGAACTTTAGAACTGACCACGAAGGAGTTCCTGGGGGGGGGCGGTTCAGTTCCTGCTGAGCAGAAAATATTCCAGGAACACTTCCAACACTTTGAAACAAGAACACCCTCGTCTCCACGCAGGTTTTAGATCAGTTCCAGCTGCTTTTTGGACACACTTCTCATTTTGAACAGACTGACGCCATGTTTGAAACAGGGAACTTTATTTATTCACTCGGGGGAACATTCAGTCATCTGAGGACTAATCTAAGCACTTTTAGAGGATCAAATCAGGGAAAACATGTGTTCTGGTCACAAATAAGTTGTTGCGTGAATGTTGCTGAAGCATTCACACTGTTGTGATCCATTTTTCTTCCAAACGTTTTTCAGCATCTTTGTCGTTCCACAGTTTTTGTGCTATTTCAACAAATCATTTATCAAAACGTTCAGCTCTTCCAGGACGATGCTGCTATGACTCTGGGTATTGGTTCAACTTTAGCTTTTTGAAATATTTAGCCTTTTCTGCCATTTTTTTTCCTCATAGAAAATGAATTGAGCTCATTTTGCATCCTTTAGATCTGTTTACAACCTTTTACTGCTCCTTTCACATTTTGTCCTGGTTCGGCTTCTTTGTGCAAATTTACACTTTTTTTCAGCTACTTTCAGCTGACCTCCACCTGTTTTGTGCTCCTTTCATCTTATTTCTGCAAGTTTCAGCTTTTTCTGCTATTTCAGCTGCTATTTAGCTGTTGTTATGCTGGTTTTAGCTTTTTCAGCTAATTCCACTTTTTTCAACTCATTTAAACTTCTTTCAGCCTAATTCAGCAACAATGTGCTCTTTCCACTTCCTGTTGATAATTTAAGCTTCTTTCTGCTTTTTTTAAGCTACTTTTCAGTTGTTTTATGCTAATTTCAGCCTTTTTCCAAGTAATTTCCACTTTTTTGTGCTCATTTCTGCTTTTTTCAGCCTAATTGGGCAAACATGTTTTTTTTTTGTTTGTTTTCTTCTGCTAATTTAAGCTTGTTCTACATTTTTCAGCTACCCTTTTTTTATAGCTTATTTTAGCTAATTTCAGCTGTTTTCTGATAAGTTCATGTTTTTCATGGTAATTTATTCTACTTTCAGCCTAATTCCGGCAACTTCTTTCTGCTAATTTCAGCTTGTTATGCTCCTTTCAGCTTATTTCTGCTAATTTGAGTTATTTCAGCTACTATTTAGCTGTTTTTATGCTAACATTAGCTTTTTCAGCTAATTCTACATTTTTTGCATTTGACAACTTTTGTGTTCTTTCTGCTTTTTCCTGCTGAATTACGCTTGTTCTACATTTTCAGCTACGTTTTAGCATTTTTCAGCAAACTTCAGCTGTTTTTCAGCAAGTTCTTCTGCAATAAACATTCACACTGAATTTTCACAGGAAATGCAATTTCTCTAGTTATTTATCCGTTAAATGCAGATTAAATACAACCTTAAATCAGAACAAAACAACAAAATTGTATTTTTTAAATAAATTAAAGCAGATTTTAATATAGATTTCCATAATATATTAAAACGTAAGGGTTTTATTAAACATTTATTTCTGTATAAACTTCATCCTACAGCAGCTTTATTTATTAATGTACACCTGCAGTGATAATCTTTTGAAATAGTCCAAACTTATTAATTTTAAAATGTTTTTATATGTTTTGGATGAAGTTTGAAAAGGGAGTGAAATAAACTAAAAAAGAGTATATGTGAATAAAAGTATTTATATTTCAGCAGCTGGAACAAACGGGAGGTTTAAGGTGTTGGTCTCATACAAAGATGTTTGTAAAGAAATTGTTCTTTTTTTATTTTTATGTGCAAAACTTTAAAAAGTAGCTTGTGTATTTAATTTGTTTACAGAGGATCCTAAATGTTTATTATTTTATTAACTCTTGTTTGTGTTATTAGTAAGAACAAAATTTTATTTTTGAAAATAAATTATATTGAAATATATTTTGTTTTATTTGTTTATGAAAAAAAAGTTTAAATCCCGATGACGAAAACAAAAACTGTAAAAGGCACAAACTGATTGATCCTGAACGCACCATCCCTGAACACTTGAACACACCTCTCTTTAACAATTTAACGCACCTCTCCTTGTATTTAAATGCAACACTCATGACACCTAAACGCACCATCCTGAACGCTCCTGATATCTGGATGAACCACTTCTGAGACCTGAACGTATCTCTCCTGAACACCTAAACGCACCTTTCCTCATGCCTGAACGCACCTTAGCCCCTCTCCTGATACCTGAACGCGTTTCATCTGAACGCATCTCTCATGTACACCTGAATGCACCTCTCCTGAACGCATAAACGCACCCCTGTGGAACACCTGAACGCATCTCTCATGTACACCTGAATGCACCTCTCCTTAACGCATAAACGCACCCCTCTGCAACGCCTGAACGAACCCGGAACACCTGAACGCACCTCTTCTGAACGCACCTCTAATGAACGCCTGAACGCACCTCTCCTGCACACCTGCTCCAGGTGCATCGCGGTTCTGCAGCTGATGAGTGCGCGTGTTTCCGAGGATGGACGGATTTAGCCGAACATCTGACCCGGACCGGCCTTGTGAGCCTAAATAAAGCTGCGTGTGCAGCGCGTGTGCGACAGTTGTCAGTAATAATAACAAGAGGACGGAAAATAATATCTGCTCATGTCGCTTTAAAGTTTTAATGAGAGAACAGAAAATAAAAGTTTCATTTATTGCTGTGTTCTCCAAACTGTGGCTGCTTTTTCTTTATCATCGGCACACAAGCACACGCACAAACAAGCACACGCACACATGTCCCGGGTTAAATTACGAGCTGCACCTTTAAGAAGCTGTCATCAGGATTAGAATTACGCACGGCTGCACCGACTGAGCACCGGAGCGCTTTTACGCACACAGGAGGTTCTGCTCGGACACGGTTCTCCCCCTGCCGGGTTCTGACTCCACGCAGAGCGACATGGCCGAGCTGGGGAAAGGCGTCACCGCCGGGAAACTGGCCCTGAACGTCCAGAAGAGGCTCAGCAGGGCCCAGGAGAAGGTAGGAGGCTGAGCCAGAACCAGGACTCGGAGTCCTGCTCTGAAACTGGATCTCTTTAACTTTATCCTGACAAACAGCAGCAGTTCTCCAGTTTACAATGGTTCTGACACAGGTTCTCTAGATCATACTGGGTTTGAGACAAGGTTCTCCAGTTCATACTGGGTCTGTGGCAGGGTTCTCCAGTTTACA